AATGATACAACATCCAGTGATATTATCCGATGATTTATTGGTATTTTTTGTTGTTTTATAAAATCACAAAAACTCTTTGTGATGTTGTGAGTGAGTGGACTCGAGTGGGCAAACCGCCCACTCGAGATGAAAAAAAAACCCTAGGAATAATTTATTGGGCAATACAATGTTTGCCGGGTCAGCTAGTTTATTTATAAAATGCAACTGTAACAATTGTACAGCAAACATTTATTCTTTCTTTACAAATTGATCGATTAATCAATTCATCATCATCATCACACGGTTCAATTCGTCTTAAAACTAATCCACAAAAGCGATATCTTTATAGCCCAGTTTCCTCTCTAATCCAGGCGCGTAAATTGGGTACGCTCGCATATAGACCTGGATATCCGGCAAAGGCGCATCCATTTCCCCAAGAAACCACGCCAGTCAAGTACCCGTCCACTATAAGAGGACCTCCTGAGTCGCCTTGACATGCGTCTTTTCCTCCATCCACAAATCCAGCACACAGCATCCTTTCGGTTATTTGGTACGATCGTGTAGCTAACCATTCGCCTGCAAGTTCATGCAGGTGCAAAAAGCCCCTGAAGAAGCGCCACAGTTCCACTCACGGTAATACTCCTCACAGGAGTCGTTGCTGACAATGGGAACAAAGACCTCTTGTAACTCGTCCATTAGAGAGCCTCCGGAAAACGGGGTGCCCCAACCAGTAACACTGGCAGTGGCGCCTACAAACCCAGTTCTCACTTTGGGGCAAATTAAGCCTCAAACAATCTCACCTGGCAGTGGCGCCCATCCTTCTGGAGGCAGCTGGGCGTAGCCGATGGCATCAGCAACTTCGCTCTGAAGCTGGGCGAGCTTCATTAACCCAATATCGTAGTCCAGGGTGGAACTATTGTACAATGGGTGGCGAATGGCCACAGAGGATGAAACCAGGACTCCTCCTTGAGCCCACAGCTCGCTTCCCAATCGGAATTGGTACCGGTGCGTGCCACTGGAAATTTCCAAATTAACTAAACGTATTTTATGCCCAGGTGGGCACCTACGCGGAAATGCAATGGGCAGCCGTTAGGATCCACTCAGGGGAAATCAGCGATCCTCCACAGCTGTGCCGATGCCAATTTTGGAAAGACACCTGATGCGGATGGCTGGCAATTTCCACCGGCCAGCCGCCCACAATGCGGCCATCAAGCAAAGGAACCAGCGGTTTTGGTTCGAAAATTTCATCAGCGGCCACTGAAAAGAGTTCAAGATTGTTGAGGAAGAGTGTTAAAGTCTAGGACGAAGGTGAGTTGGATGGTTTAAGCATTGAAGTAGCAGAGTGTTTGGGGGTTCAAGATTAGCCATGTCGACCTAAAGACAATGAGGCGACTATTCATAGATGCTGAGTTATTTAACAAGAAACGTATTTTTAAACAATGAAGTCTTGTAGTCAAGAGGTAATTTGGTTCAGCTTCGTTTGAAGGGGCGGTCAGAGCATTTTATTTTGAGATTTTAATTAAGGAAAATAGATATGAAAACTCCAGAATCAAGCACTTACCAGTCAGACATAGCGATCCAGCGACCAGCCCCAACCAGAAAACTAGTTTCAACATTTTGCGACCTTTTAGGCGAAATTTTTGGGCCAAATGAGTGAGTTTGCAACAAAACTGGTAACGTTCATTTTGGCTCCATATCTGATCGATTATACCGGATTTAGTTGGGTTTAATTAGCTGATCGATTAATGGCTTCCTAAGGCGGTCGTCGTTAATTGTTATATTGATGTGTGACAATCGATTTTTTCTACCATCAATCAATAAAAGAAACAATAAAGCTAATAAATAAACCCAGAATGTTCAATAGTAAACTGAGTCTACTGATAAAAGCGATTTGGATCAGTAGTGGTGGGTTTGTTCAAGAGATTTGGACGGAAGACGCGGCAAATTATGGATAAATTTGCTCGAAAGTTTCACAATTTTTCAGTGCGCGATTTGGGGGGTAATATTGGGTTGGTTTGAAGCAAATGGTGGGTAAAAATCGCTAATAATTTTTCAATATAACGGCAGCATTTCGTTCATCGACTCTACATGTCGGTTTCAGAATGTCGCGTCTGAAACCAAGGGGAAAAAGAGTCAGAAGAATAATTAATAGATGACATAAATGAAGAGGAAGCAAAAGTTTGTCTCAATGTTCAGCTTATTCTTTGAAAGAAAGCAGGCCCTTCAGGATATACCCAAGGGCGGATCGAGGGGAGAGGGGTCATGCGGGTCATGACCCCCCCCCCCATTCAATTCTCTATCCAACGAATTCTTTGGCTCGAATGGTTCTTGAGAAACTTCGAAAAAAACAGCGTCATGTTCAAGTGGATTTTGCAACTCAAAGAAAACCACGCAAATCTAAAACTTCTTGAATTCAAGCATTTTCTGAGAAAACTTCCAACATTTTCCCATCCATGGTTCACTTTCTGAAAAGGCCATTTATTTCTGTCTAGACTGATGTACAAATGAGCCTTCTTGCTTATTTTCCCTCCGAGAAATGAACAAAAACGGGACGGAAAACATGAAGTTTTGGCATAATCTTGCACCTAAGTGTCTGATATTAAAATTTCGCTTTCTGGGTCAAAACTACTCGAATTTCCTCACTCTGGTTGTTACGACTGAATAGCCTTTTTAAGTCTCTATCCAACGATGCCAAAACGATTTCTGTGGCTCGAATGGTTCTTGAGAAACTTCGAAAAAAGCAGCGTCACGTTCAAGTGGATTTTACAACTCAAAAAAACCGCGCAAATCTAAAGCTTCTCGAATTCAAGCATTTTTTGAGAAATCTGCCAACATTTCCCCATCCATGGTTCACTTTCTAAAAAGGCCATTTATTTCTGTCTAGAATGATGTACAAATGAGCGTTC